CAAAAATTTACCTTGTTTTGCGACCTCTACCTCGGGGTACAAACCGGATCCGCGGCCATTTTCCGCCATGACACGTGGCCTGCGGCCATTTTCAGCCCGTGCCACATGGTCTGCGGCCATTTTTCCGCCCGTGCCACGTGGTCCACGGCCATTTTCCGCCCGTGCCACGTGGTCCGCGGCCATTTTTCCGCCCGTGCCACGTGGTCCGCGGCCATTTTCCGCCTGTGCCATGCGGTCCGCGGCCATTTTCCGCCGTGCCCCGTGGTCCACGGTCATTTTCCGCCCGTGCCACGTGGTCCACGGCCATTTTCCGCCCGTGCCACGTGGTCCGCGGCCATTTTCCGCCTGTGCCATGCGGTCCGCGGCCATTTTCCGCCGTGCCCCGTGGTCCACGGTCATTTTCCGCCCGTGCCACGTGGTCCACGGCTATTTTTCCGCCCATGCCACATGGTCCGCGGCTGTTTTTCCGCCCTGCCGTGCGGTCCGCGGCCGTTTTTCCGCCCTGCCGCACGGTCCGCAGCCGTTTTTCCGCCCTGCCGTGCGGTCCGCGGCTGTTTTTCCGCCCTTGATGCGTGGTCCGCGGATGCCGGAACGGATTAACGGTAATTACATTGAACCTTATGGGAAAATTTGCTTCGGGTTGCGAACAAATTGGGTTGCGACCAGAGTCACGGAACGGATTAAATTCGTAACCCGAGGTATCACTGTAATGAGTTAATGAGAAACATAAGGGCTTACTGCTTTGAACAAATGAAAATACTGTACTGTATATTGTGCCTCACTTGAAATGCTGGTACACAGGCTGAAAGGCTACTTCTTGGGAAGAAACTATTTTGCAAGATCACTAAACTTTACAGAGAGAAGTACAAAGATCTTGAAGTTTCATGTATGCAATAAATGGTATTTACTTCTATTAATTTACATTATAGCTATCAAGGGTGGCATTTTATAATAAATTATAAACAAGAACCTTTCTCTTCCTCAAGTAACAGAATAAAGAAGCATGTATTTTTATTTATTTATTTATTTATTTATTTATGTATTTTTAGTAATGTTTTGAAATTTTGATGTTTTATGTATTTATATGTATTTATGGTTTTAATGCTTTGTGTGAGTCGCCCAGAGTCCCCCATTGGGGGGAGATGGGCAGGGGAGAAATTTAATAAATAAATAAAATAAATAAATGTATGGGCATATGTTAATGGCCAGATAGAGTACGGCCATTCAGAAATAAGGACAGCAGATACTATGGAGAAAGAAAAAGATTTATGGTTTTAATGCTTTGTGTGAGTCGCCCAGAGTCCCCCATTGGGGGGAGATGGGCAGGGGAGAAATTTAATAAATAAATAAAATAAATAAATGTATGGGCATATGTTAATGGCCAGATAGAGTACGGCCATTCAGAAATAAGGACAGCAGATACTATGGAGAAAGAAAAAGGAAAATTTAGGATGAAAATGCAAAAATTATTTGAAGGGGAGAGATGCAAACAGTTTGGTGAAATAATGGGATTTCTTAGGAGCCAGAAATGCAGAACTATGCCCAAAGGGAAAAAAAAAATATTGTTTTTATTCAAGTCACCTTCTATATGTTTTTCTTTCTCAGGGACAAAGGGGAAAAGATGCCACACAGCCATTTCAACATAGAAGTGTAAAAGATGTAGGCAGTTAATGAAATTGAAGAGGGAAAAAGTAGAACCTAAGAGAAAATGGGAAGTAGGTACAGTATCTGTGGAACAGTGAACTCACCACCTGAAGTGAGCACGCATTTTTCCCCTCCTGGGATCCAGAGTTTTGAGGCTGCCTGGAAAGGAGGGTTAAAACAGCCCCACCCCCTCCTTAACTGTCTGTCCCATAAAATGAAATAGAAAACAAGTGTGTGTGCGGGTGTGGCAAGAAAGGAGTCAACCCAGGAAAACAGCAGACAAGTGGGAAAGGGAAACCTCTAACCCAAAGGCAAGCGCCTCAACAGCAGTCTTCAGACAGCAAAAGAAAACTTCAATTCTTGGAAGTGAAAGATGGCTGAGAGGCAGGGCTGAGAGATGGGGGAGGAAGAGCCTGACCAGAGTCTGCAGACCCACAGCTTTGTGTAGCAACCCAGGTGTAGAGCTCCACAAATCAGCTCCAGCAAGAGAGGACTGTGAGTGCTGGGAGGGGGGTGGGGAGAGAGAGAAAAGCCCATTCTCAAGACTATAGAAGATGTGAATTGGGTTTTCACATGCAAATAGACTGAGATTGACTACAAGAGCTGAAGACCTGGGGAAAAAGAAAAGATTTAAAGAGCTAAAAAACAGTTAAGATAGGAAAACATAGTGCTACAAACATAGAGATAAGAATATAGACATAGAACATAGAGATAGAAATTTATAGATTAAATGACAGAAATAGTTGTAAATATATAGTAATAGAAAGACTGTAGATTAAGACAGGAAAATAGAAACAAGCACAGAATTAGCATTAAGATTGGAAGAAAGAAACAGGAGTTTAATTTTGTATAATAAAACAATGTATAATAAAACAATTTTTGTGGGAAAAACAAATGTAGTCTTTGTGTCTGTGATCTGTACCAGATTAAGAAAACCCTAACAAATGGTGTTAGCAGTGGAATATGCTATCCAGTATTCAGACATAAAGAATAAAGGGCTTGCATGAAAAAGAGAAAAGGTGACCCTGCTCCTGAGGGGAAAAGACTGGGAGCCAAAGGATTAGAACTTTAGAGGCAAGTAGGAATATAATGGCATGTGACTCATATCCACATACTAAAGCTTACATAAGACAGCTTGAAATGCAGAGGGTGAACCAGAGCCTGTGGAGACAGAGGTCAACCCTGAAATGCCTGACAGGCATTATGAGGGAGATGCTGAGGCAACAAGAAGAAGAAAGAAAAAGGATGGCTAAAAGAGAGGAGGAAGGGTGAATGAAAGCTCTCAGAAAAGAGGAAGATAGTTTATGGAGGAAAAGCGAGCCAAGGAACTGCTTAGAGAAGGAAAGGTTGGAAAGGGAGATCCAAAGAGCAGTTCATGGAGCTTGTACAATAGTGCTGCTTAAAGGACACAATCACCTGGTGGAGAAACAGCAGGACCTCCAAATCCATTTTCTGGGGTAGCAAGGGAAAGACCTTGTGAGATACACATTCCAAGATGCACAGAAAATAATTGAATTATTTTTATTACGTTTGAAAGAGTTGCTATAGGGCTTGAGAAGCTCAGTTTTTCATATAATCTCTGTCAAATATGAAAGGGCTAGCCCAAGGGGCTACCCTAAAATATCTACATGGGCATAATTGCTCTTTCTCCCCGCATGAATCTCAATCATTCCGAAATATTTCTTGCACTACCTCTGAAGACTATCAAGGTCATGATAGTTTCTCATTGTCACTGGACATCTTGACCAAGGAATGTGTCAACTACTGAATGTGATGGTTTGCTCTTCAGAAAGTATTCTCATTCAATTTTCAAGTGCAAAGCTGAAACCAGCCCAGATTTGGGTGGTGTACACTATGACAGAACATCTGGATAAGCTGGCAGGGGTCAAGTCCCCTCCTCTTTCTTCACTAGAGGTCACAGCGATGTTCTGAAAGCAGGAGAAGAAATGTCTGTTACGATTAAGAAACAAGTCAACTTCCCATTTTTCTGAGATTTGCTGGGCCATTTTCTGGATGTAGTAACTTCTCACCCTGCACTAGATGTTGCAAATTCAGACAGTCTGCTAACATGTTCATTGACCTCTTTATGTACTCTGTTGTAATGGACAAAGCATTTCCATTCATATCATGAGTCACATGGCTTCATTATGAAGCCCTCTGACCTGGTTTCTCTTTTATGATTTATGTAAATTTTGTTGAGATGTCTGTGCATGTTAGCACATGTCATCACTTGAGCTGGTGTTCCAGGATGCTTACAGCTAGTAAGATAACTCTACAATCCAGCTGACTGATGGAAAGCATCACCTCATGTTATAACCATGATCCCTATCCTGATCTTTGTCCCAGTATACAAAATTATCTGGATATTCCTCCAAATGTGTGCTTAGTCACTAGTGTAATAACTATGTCACTTTTTCTGAAACTTTCAGCTCTATCCATGCTCTATTGGCAATGTTATTTTGTAGAAGATGAAGGGGACATGAAGAACCATGGAACCAAGTCAATGGATAGCAATCATCATGCCCTGGATGAGTGTCAGTGCTAAAAGTCGGCATGTTGACTTCAGAATTTGATTCCATCTATATTGTGCTTGATCATTCTTGTGACAGAATGAGCTTTGGCCTCTCTGTGTCAATCAGGACTTTCAAGTGTAATATCTGGAAGATGAGGTTGAGCTCCTGGCTCAGTTCATCACAAACCTGTGATCCTGTAGACAATGCACATTATGTATGTTCTGTCCATCAATTGGTGCCCTAATCAGAAGATGTCAGTATGTATATATGTGAATTGCTATCATCTGTAAATGTAGCCATAATTTTGGTGAAAACCCAGGGACCAATGCTAGTTGAAGGAAATTATTTTGAACTAACACTGGCTGTCATGGTAGTTGAACCTGAGAAATCTCTTGATATTCTAGCCTGATAATAAAAGTAAGCCTCCAATAAGTCCACTGATGCCAACAGATCATCTGGTGTAAAAGCCTCTGCAATTGATTTCAGTGCTTCCACCTTCAATCTTCTTTATTTGATAAAGCTGTTCAGAAAAATGAGATTCAACATTATTCTCCAATCCACTTTTTTGTCCACTGGAGATCATCCATGAAAGAATCTGTCATTAACTCAGATGACCTTGCCAGCCCTTAGCAGTTTAGATTCTGATGGTATCTCTCAGAACAAAGACCACATCTATAGCACAAAGACCCTAGCCATGAATGAATGATCTGCTGCCACTCCCACTGCTAAAATCATTGCCTCAGCACTTTTTTTGGCTTGCTCCTCACCTGGGTCTTTGAGAAAGTCCCCTCCTAAAGAAGTACATACAACTCTCCTGGATATACTGTTGTGAGGGAGTTGATACAGATTACTGCTTAAACTTGGTTCTTTCATTCCTTGCTGACTAGTTTAGAGAAGAATTGTGAGAATAGCACCCCCTGCCTACAGGGTGCTTCCTCTGGAAATTCTGTGTACCTCAGGGATTAGGTTATTAGAAGTTTAAGAAGTCTTATAGCTTTGCACAGAGGCGCCAGATAGAACTGATCTAAGAGCCTGTTTCATGGCGAGTAGTCCAGTGGAGTATCCCCTCCTCCCTCTCAATTCTATTGTCAATAGGGTATCTGAAGTCACACCCTTGACTCTGTCCTATGAGTTCCCAGGAGTGGGGTGAAGTCCTTTAATTCACTAGGAATTTAGAGAAGGTGAGGTTGCAGCTGTTGATGATCCTCATGTAGTTGCCCTTGTTCAGACTGCTGCCAAGGCTCCTCCTCCACTTGCTTTTCCTTCTGTCTGTGCTTCTTACTGCAGTTGTATCTTTCTTTCTCCTTCCTTCTGCCCTTTTGGAGATGCCTTGAGAAGGAGGAGCAGCAGCAGCAGCAAAAGAGGAAGAAGCAAAAAAAAAAAGAGGGGAAAGAATAGTAGGAAGGAAAGGTAACTGCAGTAGTGAAGGATCTAGTGACAAAGTCAGAATCCTAGAGGTAGATGCTCTTTCTCTACTTTCATGGGAAATTCTTCATCTTTTTATTTGAGGAAATTATACCCAGTGTCTATGTCCTGCTACACCTATCCCCTCCAAGTAGCAGGAGAGAGGGAAGCATGTGAGCCTGGTACTTTGTCACATTCACAATACTGAGTAATGTTTTATTATTATCTGTGGATAAGCCTATTATAAGCTTATGTAGTTAAGCTTAATAAACAGCTCCTCATACTACTTTGCCAAGAAGCTCATTTATTAATGGTCAACATGTATTCCTGGATATTATAAATCTAAGAAACACTACAGCTGAATGGCTAAAGCAGATACTGATGTCTATTAAAAGGAGTTATACATTCCCTTGGAGAATGAATCCTGACAGCTGAATTGGTTACATTATTTTATTTTCTGGATACAGAATTGGTAACAAGGAACTAAATGAGGGCTAAGTAAAATCAAATAGCAAGATGTTGAACAAACAATGGCTGTCCAGCTCATAATGTTCAGCTTAGGTGTGTCACAAACCTCATGTAAGGTAAATAAATCTTTTTATCAGTCTGACAGAAAACAGATGAATTGCTCACAGCAAAAGTGAAAAGTTGTTTTTTAAAAGAATATATTGTTTCTATTACTACTTAAAAAAACCTATAAAACGTATTTGTAAGTAACTTCTCTCACAGCACTATTTCTGCTTCAAGTCAGCAAAACTTATCACTCAAATTAAAATGTTTTTATTTACTAAATCCCATTCATTTGTATAGACTTTTTTTCTTCAAGGTACCTATACATAGATTTCTACATAAAAAATTCCAAATATTTAACCACATGCATGTACACATAAATACAAAGTTACCTGTTCACCAGCTTTAAAATCTTGGAGTGCCACACACTCACAACGATCATCTTTTAAATTGTAGCCTGTAGTAATCTAGACAATGGATTGAAAAAGACATAGAAAATTCTTAGCCCTTTAGAATTTAATGTATCTTTCTTTTATTTTTTATTGAAATAAACAAACCATAACTAAATTGGAAAATACAGTATAAATAGTAGCAAAGCACAGAAGCAAATACAGATGTACATTATTTTTTAATGAATCTTTTTCTTCAAAAACATGTAAAAATCACATAAAAGATTTTGGAAAAAATCTAAACAGATTCTAAAGATCCAATCTTTGCCAAAAAATATACAATTAAACCCCTCCTCTATCTCTATCACTCTTCTAACAAAGAAAATAGTGAACTCATGGCTAAAAAACACAACAGTGGCAACTAGAGCAATTCTCACTTTATTCACTCCTTTAGCTGAGTTAGTTCCTGGGACTCTGAATTGGGAGAGCTATTTCACTGGATACAGTATTCACTTACTTTCTACCTAATAAATCATTCCTAATTTATAAACTCTGTATGATAGATAATGGAAGATCTACTGAGATAGATTTAGAAAGATATACCCTTTAAGATTCCTTCTTGCTGATCCTGAATTAATTCGGATGTGTAATAATGTTTCTGAACTCCAAATCAAGGAAGGCATAATACAGCACTAAACTAAGAGAAATAGCTTGCAAACTACAGCTCTGTTTCAACTCACTGTGTTTTTCATCAAAACAATGAATGGATAACTGTGAATCTTTAGGGAATACCCTCTTCAGAGAATTCAAATTTACTTGCAAATAATTTATCTCAAACTTAAGTAATTTTATTAGATACTGTAGGGTTTTAATATACGGATAATCAAAGAGGAAGTAGTTGCCACTTACCCATATTTCTTTTAAAAATCACAAGGGTTAAAAAACCCCCTCAAATTAGCATAAAGCTGCCTCGCAATATGATGTTCATAAAACTGGAATGTTTCTGATAAATCATATGAACAATATAGCAGTCTTCAAAGGCAGAGGTACGTATAATTGCTCTGCAGTAATTTAATCTGGATGTTACAAAAACCTGGATAATTAAGGCTAGGATATGTCTGACTAGAATAGGTTTCAGATAGAGTACTACTTTTGCTGGTGAAAACGTACTGCATATTACAGATCTGGTTTCTAGAGATAAAGCATTTCTAGACTGCAACTGATCCTTTATAGCAAAATTGGAAACCTAAGACTCTCCAGATACTGGTGAATTACAACTTATATTATTCTTGACCACTGGTCATCCTTAACGACATTAATGGGAAATGAAATGCAACACTTGATCGTTGTTTTAGAGAGAATACATCAGTTCAAAACAGGATGAACATTACTGTATTACATTTGTCAAACCACCAACAAACAATAAATCTATTTTACTGAATTTACTTCCTGTTTGCTCGCCTGTCCATTAGTGATCTCAAATAAAACCTTTCCACTGCCTACAGTGGACAATCAGACAATTCACCTAAAATTGTACCAGAAAATGTTATTTCAATTTCAAAATTCTATTTTAAAAACCTTATCTACAAAAGTATGTAGCTCTCTGGCCCTTTGCAACAGCCCAAGTGTGATTGTACACAGACAGACCAACAATATTTAGACCTTAAGATAGAGGTAAGTAATGTGTGCTAATGTGCTCCTTGGTGGTTGGCAACTCCCTGTCCCACTTAATTTTTCTTTAATAAAACAAAAGTAAATAGAAAGCTGATATACTACCAAGCAAAGCCTCTAGTATCTTTTTATTCACAGGCAGTCCTTGGGTTATGACAGCAACTGGGACAGGGAATTCCATTGCTAAACAATGCGGTTGTAAAGCACATCACATGACCGCGTTGCTTAGTGATGGCAATTCCAGCAGTCCCGGTTGCTGTCATTAAATGAGGACAGCATAGGTCATTAAGCCAGGACCTCACATGATTGTTGCTTCCGACTTCCTGTTGGCTTCCCCATTGATTCTGCTTGTGGGAAGCCGGCACAGAACATCGGAAATTGCAATCACATGACTGCAGCTTGCTGTGATGTAACTGCAAGCCAGGCGCTGAGCACCCAGATCATAATCACACGACCATGGGGACACCGCGATGACCAGAACTCTGAGGACCTGTTTTAAATCCCCCTCATTCAGCGCCATAACTTTGAACAGTAGCTGAATGAATGGTCATAACCCTAGGACTACCCATACAAAAATGTTCCTGAGTCCCACATAGGCTCAATCAGCATTCTTTGAAAATAAAATGATTTGTGACAGCAGCCCAGTTTTGTTTGTAAATGTCTATCTCCCCAGATAAAAAAACAAGAATACACTGAGCTGGCTTGCAATGTGATCAGGGACAGGAGTATAGACAGCACTGGGGAAGAGACCAGAAGTTTGTCTTCTAGTAACTGAGTATTTGCAACTGACCATGGTAACACAACAGCCATTTTTTTAAACAATAACCCCCCCAGTGCAACCATTTCACATGAGTGTTCATTTCACATTCCAGTATCCCATGTTCAAGAAATGCTTTCAACCATATTATAGCCAATCCTTAACCATTTCCACAGAAAAAAGAAACATTAACTAAAAGTAAAAAGTTCAAATAATTAACTGTATTTAATTAAGGAAATGTATTTCAGAATCCACCATTGTTCATCGCTAATAAAAAACAAAACAAAGAATGCATCTTTTTTTGCAATCCATGGAAGCTTATTTTATTAAACTGTGGCATATTAAGCATCTTATCTAACTTCTTGACATTTTCTTTCCAATAGAAAAGGCCATTAATAAAGGTGTAGTAGCAATTATTTTCATCAAGATGAAGCAGAGGGAGAGGTGAGAAACAGGGCTACTCCACTGATTCTGCTGAGAGAAATATGTTTGGTTCTTTCTCACTCTAAACTGTTTTCATTTCTGGCTTGCCATTATAGAAAATCCTATGTGACTTGGAGAATTAGAGTCCATTAGTATGTTTTCCTTTCTCTTCCACCTCATTTTTCCTTTTTGTGTCATATCTTTTAATTAGTAGAAAGCTGTGGGAAGAGGACCCTGTATTTTGTCTTTTATCCTGAAGGAGGGGTTGCAAATCTTTAATGATAAATCAATAAATGATTGTATGTAACCTTCCTTGGATGTATTTTAGGCTGACAAGCATGACAAAATAAAACATAAATGCTATAACTATCCATTCTTAGAAGTCTACTTCATAGAATTCAGTAGCAGTAAAAAATACTGACACGTATCACTGAACATTGCAATAACTCTGAGAAGTGCAAGTTTGTAGAATGTGAATTCACCATGTGATGTTAGTGAGAGAAATGAAAAAACAATTTTGTATATACGTTACCTGCCTTTTCAGAAAATAGGAAATAGGTTATTTCTTTTCTCCAAATGATTGTTAATGCCAATTAATTTTCTGTCATGGCACCTGTCCTATGGGAGATCATCCCCCAGTGGTCAGATTGGCCCCAACCCACTTAGACTTTCACTGGCTGTGCTTCTGGGCATGGGGGTCAGAATGTCAGTTGGAGCCTGTAAGTGGCTGTATTGATGGATGTTGTCCCTTTTATCTTGGCTGCCAATTGTATGTTTATTGTGGTTTTGTGTGTGTGTGTGTGTGGTTTCTGCTGGTTTTAATTGTAGCTAGCCACCCAAAGTTGCTTGCTTAAGATAGGCAGCCATATAAATAGAAATAAATGCCAATTAGTGAATAAAAAGGATAGATTTTAAAACCGCAGAGCTTCTTCTAGTTTTGCTTTTCTGTTATTTTAATTCCATGTTGTTGGATACATCCGTTTCATTGATAAATAATTATTTTGTTGCCCAGTATGCTTGAAATTTCTGGCAGCACTTGTAATCAATTTGACCACTAAATCACAATATCACTATAGAATAGTGAGCAAGAGTGAAGACTGTAGCCTTAATGGAAAGGTAGGATACAAATCAGTGAATAATAAATTTCTATCCCATTCTTCCCAGTGTATAATCTCTTATAATATTTACAAACTGGTATATTAGGAATTATGTATACAAAGTTATAACTTTCTGAAGCAGAATATTATTACCTCTAAAAAAATGTACAGGATTATGAAATAACAATATTTATACTGAAATCCAATTTAAGCTTACTTGGGAGTAAATCATACTCAACTCAAGGGCTGCATTCAAGTTATATGGTAAATGAGAAATAATGAGAAAATATAATTGCTTGGCTCTTTCTGTCAGCAGGCGCAGCTAACTAATCTGGTTGGCTCTATCTGTACTTTCTTCAGTGTTGTATGCAAACCAGTAATTCCAGTTTCTTGTCTAACCATGTTGGAGATATACAGTCTGGTTTGGCCAGAAAAAAGCAAGATACATAGCACTAAATAAACCATGGGTTTGTTAGCTGTGCCTATGGGGAACAACAGGATAAGAATAATCACCTGACTGCAAACCAAGATTGTTAACAAATCTGGATTATGATGATGTCTGAGTCAGCCAATGAAACTCATTTTTGAGTAGACACACAGAGGACTGGACTGCCCAAAAATAGTAATTTTGTTTAGAGAAATTCTTCCAACTCTAGAAAAGGAATTAATTAAAAAACAAACAAATAACTAATAGAATTAAAAACAGTTACTGGCAATTATCTTATTCCAAACAGCAACTTTTATACTTCTGGTAATAAAATTAGGGTCACAAAACTAGAAGAAAACTGATTTCTAGAGATGATATTACAGCCAAACATGCTTTGAATTTTTAGTAAACAATATAGTCTTGGGGATGAAATGTAACTTTGATGTTGAAAGAGCCAAGTATATCAAGGAACAAGTAATGCATTATCTTTATCACTCTGTAATTCTAAGGAGACAGTAGACCTCCCTTGCTGTCATGGCTGTCTCAAAAGAGATGTCAGGGGCTAAAAACTAGGGCTCAGATCAGGCAGTGGAAGCTAAAATAGAACCAGTTCTTGTGACATCTTCAGTGTCTATTCTGCAGTTCTAACCTTTGATCCATAACTTCTGTTCCCTAAGCAGCACTGCCATAGCAAGTGGAAGAAAAGGAGTGGTAGAAAAGTGTCAACTGCAGATTCAGATACCCTGGGATAAGCAGCTTACTTGGAAATCAGAACCAAGATTACTGTCAGCTGAATTTGGGAGGAACTAGTTGCTGGGATTTTTATAAGGCAGCGCAGGGGCTGCTGCTGGAATCAATATTCTATATTCTTTCAATAATCAATATTCTTTCAGCTTCTCCTATACCTTCATTCTGAAACCTCTACATGTGAACTGTGTCCCTGGATATACTGTTTTTTACCTGCACTACTGTACAATCACTCTTTTGAATCAGGTATATTACCTATTGGTTTTGAGCCAAAGACAGGCTGGAATAACTCTTAGTTGTAGACTGCTTTTCTTTCTCTGTTCTCTGTATCTACACATAGGACAGGACACTTACAGTTTCAGTAGATACCCTATTTCATTATTACACAGCAAATATATACTGTGATTGGTATAGTTCCTTTTTATTGTGTCTTGGATTTTTAATATTAAGAATTATGTTTATATCATAAATATTTAACATCTACAGAAGGAATGCAGAACTATTGATTTAGTGGGTAAATTAAAGTGTTAGACAAAGGATTGCCGCTTGGTCTGGAGGTCTCTTAAAATGGGTGGCAGGATAGGTTAGCTTGAAGGGGCAGCAATAAGGGCAAGAGCCCCCTCTTTTTTGTCAAGGTCTGGATGATCATTGGGATAGTTGGCAGGGTGGCTTTTTAATTTGTCCTCTAGATGAGAGCTAGTAGGACTGATGAATGGGAGTGGGGTGAGAACCAAACAAAGTGCAACTTGCCTGTGTTCATATGGGCTGCGGATAACTAAGCTAGGTATATTAGGGCAGTGGTAACAGCTCGGGCATTTAATTCTGCAAATGAGATACAAGTTAGAGAGTTTCTTTCTTTTAGTTTCCCATTTTTTGTCAATTGCTTTAGTACTTTCATATGTCTTTCTTTTGTTTGCACCATCTTTTTATAGTTTAGAGGAAGACTGTGTGTGTGTTTTGGTGTCTTTGAATCAGTGTTGACTCTTAGCAACTACATGGACAAGTTCATGCAGTTTCCTCAGCGATATTTATTTTTTTGGAAATAGTTTGCCATTGCCTTCTTCCTAGGACTGAGAGAGAGGGGGACTGGCCTAAAGACATCCAGCTGGCTTCATGCCCAAGGCAGGACTAGAACTTCTAGTTTCTAGTCAAGTGCCTTAACCATTACATCAAATTGGCTTTCACTTCTGGTCTAGGTTTGTGTATTTTATGTTTCTCCAGGAGAACTGGTGCCCCTATTTCAGTGGCATGATGCACAAGTATACTTGTACAGAATTGTTGCTTGTACTGGTCGGAGACCATAATAAACTGAACTGACGTGAAGAGGCAGATTTGTGAAGGGAAACAGAATCCATGTGAATATAAAAACTCCAACATTTCCCTCTTTGGCCACATGGTAATTTGGGGAGCCAGACTGAGTTACTGCATCTTGATACTACTTCTATTAAATTCACGTTGTAACATCTGTGATGTCATAATAGACTGAAGAGCCGATGTAGTTTGGATCACTAGAGACATAGCAAGATTTCTGCTTGAACCCCTGGGAATGATTTATCTTGTGGGTTCCTTGTAGGTTCTAACTTGTCTCCTATGTTATATAACATTTATATGAAACTTCTAGGAAGGATCATTTGCAGGTTTAGAGCTAGCTGCCATTACCATTCTGATGATACTTGGTTATATTTGTTTCTTATGACTTCAGAGTAGGACATTTCCAAGGCCTCTGAGTATCTCCAGCTTGTAACTGACAACTTGTGATAAAACAAACTGAAACTCAATGTGAACAAAACAGAGGTGTCTGGGATTGGACTTCAGGATTAAGATGAGATTATTTTTCTAGCTGGGACTGCACTCTCTTTTAAGGAGTAGGTAACATCAGTGGCAATGAAGGCTTCTATCATCTTTGGCTCCTCTACCAAGAGAGACCTTGCCATGTGCTAGCAAGTCAAAGTTGAATTACTTTGTAATTACTATAATGTGCTCCTTGTGAAGCAGTCTTTGAAGATGTTCCACAAACTGCAACTCATTCAGAATGTGGCAACATAGGAGGTAAGTGATACTTTCTAAATGTTCCACATAACTATCATGTTGAAAGAACTTTTCTGGTCGCCAGCTGCCTTATGAGTCCAATTCAAGGTGTTTATGATGGTAAATAAAGTTTCACATGCCCAAGCAACTTTCAGACCAGCTTACTCTCATACAACCCATCCTGCATTCTTAGATCAACAGGGCACTTTTTGTGGGTCACATCACAGATATAATGAACATATGAAGTAAATTCTGCTTTCTTTGAGGCTGGGCCCATATTGTGGAATATACAATACACAAATACCTTCCTTATTACAGTTTAGAAGGGAGCTTAAAACTTATTTGTTTACTTGCTTTAACTGTTTGAAAATACATTTTTTGTTTTAATAATGTTTTAAATACGTTTTAATAAAGTTTTAAGGTTTGTTTTAAATGTAGTTTTGCTATTATTTATTTATTTATTTAAATTAATTGGCCACCCAACTCCAGTGGACTCTAATTGTAAGCCACCCTGAGCTGTTAATGGAATAAGTAGTATAAAAATACTCTAAGCAATAAATAAATAAATAAATAAATAAATAAGCTCAGAATGGATAATTGGCCAATTCTTTCATCAGCCAAGATTTGGTTTATTAGTAATTTTGATTTATATAGTTTATTATAATCTCATTGGGTAAAACTAGTTGACTTCTCCATCCTTTCAGGCTATTTTATTTTTGTACTCAGGATCTAGGAGATCTTAAACCATGGGGGTTAATCCCCCTTTTTAAGAGGTCACACTGCAAACAAAAATCTGCATGGTTAGGGACAGCATATGCTTGGGCAGAAGTAGTAAACTGATACATTAATGGGCATTTCAAAATATAAAAAGCACAAATGAACATGCTCCCCTTGTCTGTACTGCTACCAGTGACAATATATGGAATCTTTCTGGTAGACAAAATGAAACATTCATTTGACTGTACTTGCAACAGAACAGAAGAGCTTTAAACATCAAAACAAACCACTATTTTTTCTGGGAAGTTCTGCATGAGTATTGCAGTTCTCCAACAAAAATAATCATTTAGCATATTCAAAGGCTTTTTTAATATCACATTTTCCATTTATCTTAAGCAAAATTATTATTTATTTCTACAGCACCTATAATTACCACTTACCATAAAAGAAAAGACATAGACCCTTGAGCTTTTATCAAAGAGACAGCATAGGGGAACTATAGTAGATTCATGATTAATCAGTTCTTTATTTCTTGCTGCTATTTTAACCAAAACAAGGGGAAAGCTAACATGCTTCCCTCTGTAACTTGGCCCCAAAGAAAGTCAGCTTCCCTCCTGCTGCTTTGAAGAAAAGAAAAAAAGGAAACAATTGGGGAATAATTCCCACATCCCATTTAAACAGGATATAAGAAAATTGCATAAAAGAGGATCAAAATGGAAAAGTTACAGAGAGAGTGAAGAGGAAACTTTTAAACTGGTGTTAAATACACATCAAGGCAAAAGGCATAGAAATGCGTGGAGATAAAGTATTGCTGGGCTAGGATGTAAAGGGGTGAAAGTATAGGAAAGGTACATGTAAAAATGGAGATATAATATAGGACAACTATGCTAGAATAATAAATGCAAAAGAAGAACACAGGAAAAAAGGCAAGAAAACAAAAAAAAAGGTATCAAAAGAATTTCAAGTTCTCTTTTAAGTTTCTACAGTAGAAGTAAACAAAGATATGAAATTCCTCAGCCCTCCATATTTTCAAAGGTTTCAATCTCATGCCACTCAAAACTAGTTTCAGGCAAACAATAAACTAAATTTCTAACAACAATGAAACAATGGCTTCAGCAACTTAAAGTTATTTTTAATTATTTTAAGGTCATTGCTACCAGCTTCCTCACTGCGCAACACACACAAAACAGTTCTGAGTAACAGAAGTCGCTCAAATATATTGTGTTTAATATTTATTTTTTAAAAATCAACTTTTATGGAAATACCATTCATATCTCAAAGATCTCCAAAACAAGTCAGATTAAAACATGATTGCATTTAATTTGAATGGTATGAAACAAAATTTCTGTCCAGAAAAAAGGTGCTGAATACAGCAATTACATTTATTCTCTCCTCTCATATATACAGTCCTTACCAGCCCATTGGTGTGATTACACATGTCCCATAAAGGTATTAGAGCTAATGTAACCCGTGAGCCATCCTCAGCAGGAATCTGGTTTTGTCGAGCCATGACAGAGGAAACTGCCCACCTAACAAGCCAAAAAGAAGTTAGTGGAAGTAACAAGAAAAAAGTTTTAATACATTTCAAACAATTTAAAATACTTTTACTATATTAAGTATCCATTGCTATACCATAATTTTATGGGTTTATTAAAGTCAATCACCTGCAGAATCCTATCTTTTGAAAATCTAAAAAAAAATAGGCGGCACTTAAAAACAAACAACAATACACAAAACAGATACTTCAGTGTGTTATAAAATTACTAAGAAGGAACTAGAAAATTAAAAAATTCCTGTTAGAATTTGAGAGGTGTAGAAAGACTTCTGTGAATTAATTTTACTTATAGTGTTATCAATTATATCACAGTATCTTTCAAAGAAGTCTCACTTAATTTAACCAATTTTCACAATAATAAACAGCAACTGCAACAAAAATTATTTAAAAGGGATTTTAGAAAGGAATATAACAATGTATTTTAGAAGAAACTATAAATTAATGCTAATTGGCTAGCTAACAAACTTTGTCTGAAGATTAAATACAGATGGCTGCAATAATTATACTCTGTGATCTTTAATGCTAAGTATTATGACGGGACCAGGGATTCATGATTAATAACTTGATTATTTGGGGGGGAAGAAATCTGAAAGCTTAACAACCTAGTTTTTATATAAAAAGGGAAACAAACCTGTAATCATCGTAAGTGAAAGAATCCTTTAATGGCAGTTTGCTGGCATTAGGATGGGTCTGAGAAATAAAAGATTCAGAGGAGAGGTGAACAGGGAAAAGACAAAAAAAACCCCACAAAAATCAGTCAGCAGAATTTCATTATTTAGCTGCCTAACAGATCCTAACAAGAGCCAAATGAAGCAGGAGGCGTCCAGCCGCGCTACAGAGGGATCATCATGCTATTATGCTCTCATACATCACTGTCAACTTAATTTGTTGTGCCCAGCAGCCGCCATAAATCTGTTTCTTCATATTTCAAAGACTCAAACTCACAGACAACGCACCCAAGAATTTAAGGTAGACTCCTATCTCCAAACCACACATGAAAAGTTTTCTGAAAAAGGAGACTGTCCCAGTCCTTTTCTTCTCTTGCTTTCAGAGTTTTAATTCTTTATCTTGGTCACAGTGTGGGAATATATGTATTTTTAAGCTACTTTGACTTGTCCTATATCTTAATTTTTTAAAAAAATTCAGAGGACACATATATTTTAGAGACTACAGACATGACAAAACATTGAAACAGTTACAGTCAAATGCATAGGTAGAAGGATGGTGCTATAAGTATTACTGAACAAAACCAATAAAGCAATTTGATTTCTTTCCTTAAGATGCTGGTCATACTATATACTTGAACAGCAGGACAAGAAAGCAATCTTAATTGTGATGAACAAATAAGGATTTTTGGCCAATGACTTAAAGGTTCTTCATATCTTATATGTTTAAATATATAACTTTAAAAATCATTGAATTTTACAAAATGCTTAAAAATGTTCCCCCCTTAAGTTATTAAGATCCATTAAAAGGGTCATTTTAATATTTAAATGACAATTGAATAGGCAGGCTTCAGAAATTATCAAATGAATGGTTATTTCTACCAATAGAAATGAGACTTGCTTGGACGTATCTTTGCAACACTGTGAAAGCAAGGAGCTCAACACAGTGTGCTTTTTATAGCCTTGATGCATTAGCATCACAAGTGCATGGTAATTTATCATCTCTCACAGTAATGTACTTGCTGGCACTGTGTGCAGGACAGTAGGGGATGAGGTAAAAGTGGCTGAAACCCTAAATCAATTAGAAAACAAAAGCCTGTGCTTAGTGCACAATTTTAGGCAAATTATATATTACAAAAGGCTGCCAATTGGGTGTTATGTCCCAGGTGTCTGTTCTCTCTAACCCCTTAAAATTAGCTTTGTGGATGGACTTTGCAAACCTTGTGTCCCTCAACTAATTTACAGATGAGTATTTGTTTCACATGCAAAACTCACTGCAGATTTCTTTAGTTTGGTTGGCTATTTTAAGAAATAATTAGTGCTAAGGTCAGTACAAGAGCCAGTCTGGTGTAGTGGCTAAAGGCACCAAGGATAGAAAGCAGGAAGCCATGAGTTCTAGTCCTGCCTTAGGCACAAAGACAGCATTGTAATCTTGAGCCAGTCATGATCTCTCAGCCCTTGGAAGAAGGAAATGGCAAACTACTTCCAAAAATAATGCCAAGAAAACTGCAGGGACTTGTCCAGACAGTTGGCAGGAGTCAAGATTGACTGGAAGGCACAAAAACAAACAAACAAGATCTGTATAATTTTATAACAGCCATCTCTAAGTAAATGAGAATAATTTCATCAATCATATTAGGGGAAAAAAATCAAAGCCAAACATAGGATATGAGGTGCAAAAAAGATACTCTAAGAAAACATAAGACTTTGAAGATTAATCTTTGATAAAATTATGTGTTGTTTGGTTCTGTTAATAAGTAACTAGTTAATGTCAAAAGCTTAAATACTTTATTTATAAGATATATATGCCACCTTTTAGAATGAAACTCCCAAGATACTATAAGGTACCACTAAAATAAAAGATGATGATGATGATGATGATGATGATGATGATGATAACGACATTACTGTTACTACTATATAGGAGAACAAAATACTATGTATGCTGCCTTGAGCTCCTGATTGAGAGATATAAATTTAATAAACAAGTACTATGAAAACATCAAGTAACAATAAAAACCAGGTAACAGCATATACACAATGATATCAGTACTTAGTTAAAATCATAATAACAGGAAAATCTTAAGGTGCTGTTTAAAAATCTCTACTGATGAAAACTAGAAGATGTTTCATTGAAAAGAATTCCATAAATCTGGAAACAAGATTAGCCCTTTAAAAATAGCAAACATATTTATTTTAAAATTAACAAATTAAGCTTTTTAATGGACTGTACATGTGATCAAACAAGCTTACAGCACAGGCAAACTCACAGTTACATTTACTTTTTGTAACTTTCAACTGAGAAGAGTCTTCCTATTAACAGTTATATCAGGATTTATCTGAAAGACCGATGACTAACATGGCTCTGCCTCCACCTACTGATCAAATGCATGTAAGACAGAATCTGAAACTTCTGTCTTAAAAATACAAAAGGACAATTTTCTCCAAAGAAAATCGTATTTTCAGCAATGGTAACTAATCAGATTGTTTTACTATATACAGTATAAAACATTGACTTCTTTAAAAGAGAAGTAGCACATGCAACTCTATTAATATTAACAGAATATTTATAAACCCCTTTTCTAATTAAAAAAGCCATAACAGGTTACAGAGAATGAAGAAAAAAAAGTCCTTTAAACATTAATTATATCTGTCTCAAAATAAGTTAAAACCTTCAAATTGACAGTATAACAGTAGAAGAGATAGCTTGATGCACTCCAGTATTTTAACTGTTCTGCCAAGGTTGTTTGACACAGACTAGACCAACTTTACTATAAAAAAGAGCAAATTATATTTTTGGAAAATCCATTCCATAGTGTAGGCACTAACACTGTATTCCAGCAGATGTTCAAGAACAGAACAGGGGACATGGAGCAAAGCCTCCATTAATGTTCTAGAAATGAAAATAAAGATCTTTCTGTTCAAGTGCACATTTCCTAAGGTATTCTGAATCCAAGATATAAATTGATAGGTATCAGGCACTGAAATATGCACATGTCCACCTTGATAAATGTAATCAAGATATCAAAGTTCAAATTACATTAACTACATTTTCTCAGTATTTTCTTTCCTATACTGTTGATAATATCCCAAATCAAACTATATGATATAAAAGAAGAAACAGATTTTAATTAATGTTAAAACACCATCCACAGGAGAAAAAAAAACCCCTGAAATTCATACAGAACCAGTATCTTTCTTAATACAAGTTCTGGAGTTTCCAAGAATTCTTCATCAGATAAGTTATTCAAAATCCAAGAAAGGGAAAAAAAGGACGAGTTGGAGAAACGTGGCTGGTGTTCAAAATATATCTGTACCAGGTTACTGTCCTAAATGGAGTATTGAAATAGTCTGCAACTGCTCATCTCAACCACTAGCATGGTTAGGGAAGTGAAGAATAGTGAATGGGGCAATACATTACCCAATATTTTACTGGGTGCCATAGTAGTGCACAAATGTGTACTACAACTAGCTACCAATGATGCAACTGTCCTTGCACAATTGCAGGATGCAGGGAGAGCACTGGCAGTCAAGCCACATTTGTAGATATGAAAAATTCAATCCTATCACCTATAGATTGTACCAAGAATTTTCTTACAGCTTGCTAGGAGGAAGAAGCAAAACAATCATCTCCATTCCTGGAAATAATGAAATCCAGCTATTAACATCAAATATGTTCTCATATTTAATGAAATACTTGGTTGCACTGTAAATGGAAAACAAGAGTGACCATCCAGATCAGAATGCAAAGCCTACTTTGAATATACTTTTGAAATTATTTTTTTGGGTGAAGGTATGCCTCTGTATTTCCATTCCAGAAAATATATGGGAAATGTAAATTATGATTTATAAGATTTACATTTATATTTGTCAACTTACAATGTAGATTCTAAAATAGTACCAACAAAAATGTAAATGTCCAATATTAGATTTTAAGATGACTGATATTTAATGATTAAATAGTATACTGTATATTAAATATAGAGGAAATAAAGCTCCAAAGCTTTAAACAATGGTTTTTAAAGCCTCCTGCACTTTTCATGAGAATCTCCAGAGAGGTACTTGCACATTTCTAGAAATCAATCTTTCTCCTTAATAAATCATAGGAAATACTCCTAATACAAAATTATATTGTCTCACATCAAAACATATGCATTTAAAATAATGTTGGAAATAAATGCATTCTGTATTTTTGAGAATGCAATATTTTTAACATGTGTTAGCATATCTTAGCTGAAATGACCAAGAGAAAAATACTATGATTAAAAAATTGATTTAGCATGCAGTTTTGCTTCACAGTCCCTCTGTAAAAATGAAATCTCCCTAACAAACTCTTAATAAAACCTGTCAATATATCTAGAAAGAAAAATGACACAAATGCATTAAGTATTAAATACCCTTGGAAAAAGTCACATATTCCATGAATTTTTGATGTACTATCTTGACATTAATGTAAAACCTTGATATTTATAATTGACAGATATTTAATAAAGTATAGAATATGGCTGCTGCATAGCATGCAAATTTTTCAGGTTGATCAAAAGGAGGTAGACACTTATTCAAATGAAGCAACCTGTTGATAAATGGCAAAAATCAGATCTCTTAATTTTGTATACTCTTAGCTTAAGAAATAATATTATGTTCACTTTATTTCAGACAACTCTAAATATACGATAGTTATACAGCATTTTTTAAAAAGTGCAAATGAGAATATTATGGCAAATGTTCAGTTAATAAGCATACACTACAATGTTATGGAGTAACAGTAAGACTATTTAAATGGACATTTGTAAATAAAACTGGTTTGGAGACAAGCTATTTAAATCTCATAGGATAATAAAAACGGTGAACCAAGACCCCCTGACATGCAATACATATGCATTTATTCAGAAATAAATTTCACAGAGTTCAAAAAAGCTTATTCACAGTTTATATGTATAGGATTGTGGTCTCAAAAGTAATAATTTCAAAATGGATATTCCATTTTTGTTAGTCTGGAAAATAGGCTCATCTATACGCTTAACA